AACCTAAATCTCGGTGCTTCTGCAGCCTCCCCACATTCGTCGAGCACGATCCGGTGCTTCCGCAGCCTCCGCGACGGTGGTTTCAAACAAATGTTTTATTTATTGGTTTAAAGAATTTCCAACGTATACATGTGGTGGTAGACTTATTGGGTAGTTATGATAGATTTATAAGTTTTTTTTTTTTAGGTTTCAGGATGGCAGTTGCGTAAATAAAATAGATTATTAAAGTTTATTTGTCTTTTATCGAGTTGTGTCAAGTTACTAGATTTGACAAAGTCATTCTAGTAATTATCCTACTTTCCAAAGTTATTCTAGTAATTAACTCTTCAAAATATCGGTATAATAAATCGTCATCATCAAAGAATTTTATTCTTCAAAAATATTTTGTTATGAGAAAGAGAAATACATCAAAGGTTTTGAGAAATTTTATGGCTGGAAGTGATGCGTCCATAAGCAAGTGGAAACTTGATAGTTTGAGGAAAAATTCGTTTTCTCCAACGAATATGATCACTTAGGAGTATCGTGGTTGTTGAAGAAGTGAAAAAATAGACTAATTTGAAAAAATGGTGATTGAACATTATGATAAGTTATTCATGTTTCATGGACACTCTTCATTCTACTAGTTTTTGCTTCAAAATTGCATGTTGAAGTCTAACATGAGATTCTCGAAGATATATAAATCTAATTTTATAGCATTCTAAGGTTTGTTCGCTACATTATATTTGTCCTGATACATAACCGATAGACCAAATACCAAAGTGCAAGAACTGCGCTATAATTATGATTCGTTTCTATATAAATTGTCCCGTTTTCATATGATTCTCTTTTATTAGTTAGCCAAAAATATTTTGGTTATGATATATTGTGTTGCGTGTTTATCTATACATTTATTTAATAATTTTAAAGCAGATGTCCAATTGATTTTATATGGCAAACTTACAGATTCTCGACGGAAGAAAGAACCAGTTTCGTCCATTTGTAGAAGACATAAGTTGACGTGAATCTTCTGAAGAAAAACCATGAGAAACTGCTCAAGGATGCAACAGAATTGCAAAATTTGGGCACGACAAAGTGATATTTGTCTTACAATATTATATAATTTCATGGGTTTTTTTCTCTATAATATCGTATTTCAGTCTTAAAAATATATTGATGATTTGATGCAGCTAAGCAGGAGACCTAAATTTTACATGCAATCTGATCCAGGGATAGATTTCAAATGGATTGAGCTACCAAAATTGGGCTCAAACCACCCTTCTTCCATTTGTAGGACACCTCGGATTCAGGTGGACGCTAAAGTCATGAAAAACGAACCCATGAAAAAATCCTTAAAAGGATGGTTTAAGTTGGCTGATGTACCATTTCCTTCGTTAGATTTACTTTTTTTTTTAATATGAGGAGTTTTACATTTTGTTTCCATAAACATTTTTGTACATTTTTATTTTGTCACACATTTTTGTACATATAGATTTCCAATAATAGAAGAAGATGATTAGTAATTCTGAAGAACTCATGTACGATTTTTCCCCCCATTTTCTGTGATTTGTAACGTTTTAACCCCTATTTCATTGTGCTTTAAAGATTAAAAAATGAGTGGATGAATTAAGTATCATAATACTCAATAATGAACTGTATCGTACGAATCCACCGAATATATCTAATAACGTACGAGTTAGCAGCACATGTTTTTTCCCGATAAGGCAGTTAGCAATTGAACGAAGGTTGGATCTTTTAACCCGCATTGACATCACTAAATTCTCTGCAACCTCAGGATCCATCTCAGGCTCCTCTATCAAAAACATCCCTAATATAAAACATTATGGGACACACAAAAAACAAAGTATTGATTCCGTCTAAAATAATACTTTACCACATTGCATTCAAAGTATTAAACCACGTTTTCTTTTGTAGAAGAAACAAGATATGCATAAGACAAATTATCATCAGTTCTGAGAAAAAAGAGCCAAACATCATCTAATGATCCTCATGATTTTTTCGAAGATCCAAAGCCGCCAAATCCCATCATCTCTGCAACCTCAGGATCCATCTCAGGCTCCTCCTCCGTCACCTTCCCTTTCTGAAACCAGAAAACCACAAGTCAGGTTTCCAAAAGCCAATCGAAGAAGAAACAACAAAAGAGAGCTAAAGAAGACAAGTATATCTGAAGACTTGCCTTCTTCTCTTTCTTTTTCTCCCGACGCTGCCGTTTTAGTTCTTCCTCTTCTTCTTGCTGTTTCCGGATGCGTTCGTCCAGATCTATTCCCAGATCATGTTCAAATTCAGTTATCAGAAATCTACTATGCATTAGATGAAGAAGAGCAAGTCACAACTTACTTAGAGAATAGTTTCTGGTTTCTGAAGAAACATCAAACTACACAACTCAGAGATGGGTTTTACCTTGTTCCGTGAAAGTTCCTGGCGTTTTCCGCTTCTTTAAAACCTCGAAGCGCTCCTGGACCTAATGCATTCAAACCAGTAGCACTTTTGTCTCAGATTCATTCATATGCAAAACCTCATGAAAGCAAGCAAGTATATATGAAAAATTTTACTTGCTCAAGAGACGATCTCTCCACCCGCATAGACATTCCCAACGCCCTTTGATCTGTGGGAACCAAAAACAAAACGGTCTCATTACAATTTGAAAACAAACTGTATATTCAATCCAACAATTTAATGGCTTCAAAATGAATTTGCTTTCTATAGTTTGACTTGTTAGAAATATGGTGAGTAAAGAGCACAGATCAAAGTGTCACTACGTACGTTTTTTCCCATTGATGTGATCCAAGTAGTTTGCTGAATCTTTAACAACACATTCACAAACGCGACAGAAATAACCAGCCTGTGGGAAGACAAAGATCATTAGCAGATATCCGTTTGCTTAAGGTCATATTTGCGAGTAAAGTTAGAAACAGCCATTACCTGCTGACTTAATGGCGCTACGGGGGTAACAACCTGGTAATATGAGCAAGAACATTAGTTCAGAAACTTCCATATCAGAGTAATACAAGAACGGAATTGATATCAAACCAAATCATTTCGATTCAGCCAATACAGTGACAAAAAGGTACTCACCTACTTTCAAAAAACCCAATAAAATATCAGCTACTAGATATTATCAACTAGTCTCAAGCAGGATTGATAAACAACTCAGGTAATTTTAACACATTTCAGATCAAAACCAAATGTGCAATGCTTAAAAGCTAGACTTTACATGTAAAAGATGCCATCAGTTACTTTCATCAAAATTCTTGGTCTTACAGATAAACAAAATCTAAGCTTGCAAATTTCTATTCAATTCAAAGGGAGCCATATACGAATACCACAAGAGACAAGGTCAAAAGAGATAAACTCACCTGTGTTTTACCCAGACGAGATTCTAGGTCAACATGATAATCTCTATGCTTCAAAGGGGCTCTTTGCACAGGAGGACCTTTGGCTACAAAAACAACAACCCTAATTAATGTCATCAAGATTTCAAAAAATTCAATTTTTTCATAAACTGAATCAGAGAAGTAACCCTACACCGAGATTTAGACCGATCCGATTCCTGCATCGAGAAAAAAAAACCCGTTTTCAAAATCGAAAAATTCAACAGATCGAGATTGAAAAATTGGAAATTCGGAAGAAAAAAAACCTTCTTTTCGCGTTCACGTGCTCGTTCCCGAAACTCTTCCGTATCGAACTTCTTTCGAAAGGTATTATCAACCCCAGTAGTAGTCTACAAAATCAAACCAAAAACACGAAACAAACTCAAAATCAAATCTTACCCAAACCCTAAGTAGCCATAGAGAACAAGAGAAACAGCCTATGCTTACGTTGTTGCTAGAAGCCATTGGAGAACACAAAAAGCTCAAAAATCTCAGGAAAGAGAGGAAAAACACTGATGATTCGAATTTTCTGTCTTTGATGAACCAACCATAGAGTTCGGCACAAAGACGGAATCATCTTTAGTTAAATAATTTAAACAAGATCAAATAACCGACTTGGGTGTTTGGTCTAGTGGTATGATTCTCGCTTCGGGTGCGAGAGGTCCCGAGTTCGATTCTCGGAACACCCCCTCCATTTGTTTTTATTTTTATTTAAAACACACTTCCTAAGAAACGTCTTGCCGTTTTCATTATGATTTAGAACTCTTTGCCGTTTTCTCACCTTTCCAGCAACATGTCTTTTCTTTTCACTACTTGCCATTTGAGAGATACACAGAGAAATGCTATTCAGCCTACTCTTGTTTTTAACGTATAAAAGTAATAAAACACAATTCATTGTCAAATTAGAGAAACTAGAAGAAGACTACCAAGTTGTTGTCAGAAACATAAGAGAAGATCATTGACTAAGTCATCAACTAATTCAGACATAATCTCTTCTTCAATCTCAGTTCCTTCTTCGTAAGTCTCTCTCTTGTAATCAAGCCAATTCCCTTCAAAACTACTCATGTCACTCTCAACAAGC